TTCCTTCCCCTCCTTCCTTCCCCTCCTTTCCCCCTCTCCCTCTTTCTCTCTTTCTTAAAAAACCAAACCAAGACAGCTCGTAAGTATTTCTGTATCTAATGATAATAGTTTATCTCTACATAGGCAAAAAGCCAAATCTCACCTGCTGTGACAACAACTTCTAAACCAAATAATACAGGAAAAGTAACTACAGCTCAAACTGACCAGCCCCCACAAGCAACCTCCGTACAGACAGCAAAGGTACAGTAGAAGTAGCAGTCTGATTTTTATTACTTATGTTATGGTAGGGACTAGAAATAAATCCATATCTAGATGGATTCTTTTGCTGATTATTGTGAAGTGAGACTGGGCCCCCCAAAAATCACAGTGTAGAAAAGCTGCTGGTGTTAATGGTGTACTGAGAACTACCAGGTGCAAATTAAAGCTTCCAAAAGAGACTTGGAAGGGACCTCATAGTCTTTCTGCACTGAAGGTTTCTTTTACTGGCAAAGGGCCAGGAAAAGAAACCTCTCTTTGGTAGAGAACTTAAAATGGCCTGCTTTCTTTTTCATAGCAAAATCACACTGGAAATGGAGTATGTCTCTGTAGTATTGCAGGTACATGGTGGCTCTCTCTGCCCGAGCATCTGACACTGTGCAGGTATATGAGCCAGTTACTGAGCCCAAAAAGGTATGCTGGGCCTCAGAGTTGGATGTTTTAGGCTGGGCTCAGTGTCACCTCCGCTTCCAGGCCACTCAGCCAGTAGGTAGAACCAGCTTATCTTTTTTTTATTCGAAGTGTAGATGAAGAGGGACAATAGATATGTATGCCTGAGGAGAACATCTCTGTTTTTCTTTGGTTTGTCTCTAGAATTTTTAACATACAAAAAAGCCATCTCTTAATTTTTCCCTTATTTCCTCAGGCTAAGTCTGAGAAGATGTCCATAGTGGCTGGTGCAGCTGGTGCAGGTGCAGTCAGTCCGAATGCGGCTCCTGCAGCTGAGAAGTCAAGTACTGAGGTTGGTAAACACAGTCCCAGGCAAATGCTTCCCCTCTAAAAATGTCTCAGAAAGTGTTTTGCTTCACACAGAATCACATTGGTAATTGCTGAAGTATTGCTGAGTAGTAGTTATGTAGGGTGGTGAAGGACTATCTGAAAGAACAGGTAATAAACTAGTGGCGTGTCATTTGTATTTGGTCACATAAGACTTCTTTAGAATCACTCTGACCACAACCACCATAAAGTGAATTACTTCAGTTATGTTTGTATCTGTATGTGTATATATCAGCTGATATAGAAATACAAATGATCCTGTGCCTGACCCTGGAGAAGGAGTTTAAGAACAATTCTCACTGACAAGTTTGGCAAGGGAAGGAAGGACCTACTGAAGGAAAGCTTTTGGTTTGGTTTCTGGGAGTTTTCTACAGATTCCCCAGATGACTGAGATATTTTTTTTTTTTTCTCTGTACAGCATGATAACTTCTATAATGGTCTGCTTCTTTTTAGCCTGGTATGGATGAGTCGGCACTAGATCGCCTCATAGATACCCTCGGTGGACTTGAAGATGATGTGCCTGCTAGTCCTGTTTACACTGGTCCAGAAGTTACGGTATTTCACATTTTTTGTCTTTATTCTTTAGAAGCTTCATCTCTACAATATGTCTGTAGTTGCTCACTGCTACATTGATCCAATATTTGTCACTTTGACCTGCTGGGAGGTAGAACAGAGTTTGCACAGTTGCATTTTGGTGTTGTTTTCCGTAATACAGAAGTGATCTGGTCCTGGATGTATTGCAGTAAAAAACAATAAAGTGTCAACAAAGGAAGCCTGTTGCTTTGTGAACTGACTTCTAAGCATGGTCTCCAGTGAATTTACAGAACGCAGTGCTGGAGGTATAAGAGAGTGCAAACAACCTGGGAGATTTCATTCTACTTGGGAAAGTGTAAAACATGGAGAATTTGGGGAAGAAAGCCTGTGTTTTCTGCACTAGAATGGGAGGGTAGCATAGGAAGGATTAAGATTACAAGGTGAATGGCTCAGTGCAGTACTCAGCTACGATAAAAACTTCGGCAGTTATAAATATTTACAATTCAGTCTAGGGGCAGCAATACATTTTATGGCCTGAGACACTGAAATGGCTTATGGTAAAGCAGAAGGAATCTGGCAATGGAGAGGCAGAGTTCTGCTAGATGAGTTGTGCTGTTGAAGCTGGTCGAGATGCATGTGCATGGCACTAGGTTCTGACAGACACTGTATGGTCATGGTCCAGGGTTGGCCTTCTGACGTAGCCAACCCCCGTATTTTCCTTCCAGAAGTGTCACTGTGGATAGCTCTACGTTGGACACTTACCAAAATAAACAAGAGTACAAAAGCATTAACGTGTACATTCTTTTAACAGGAAGATATATCTTCAAGATACTTGGAAGAAATGGGTAAACGTGAAGGTAGTCTCCCTCCAGAGTATGTGAAATTGTTGAAGGTTAGTCAGTTAATTAAAAAAATACTCTTGATGTGTGTTTTCTTCCAAATTGCATGTTTTTGCTTTGCATTTACTACAAGATTAATTTCATTTTAGAGCAAAGGGGATGGCAAAGATGGAGTCCCACCAAAAGCAGATGAACGAGATGAAGTAAGACTTTTTTTTTTTTAATATTGGAAGGTGGAAATAATCTGATTATCATTGGCTTCTTAGGAAAACTGACACGTTACCTGCCTTCCAAAAATGCCAGGAAGTGGGAGAGGGCTGTGGGGTGCCAGATAACATAGGTACAGGTAAAAATAAGTAGAACTTCACAGACGTGTTTTTAATAAAGAAGTAGGAATTTTCAGAACACTGACTGAAGCTGAAACAAGCCAAATAATTGCTCATAGAGATACTGGGCATAACAACAAAGGAAAGAAAGGGTAGCTGTGCGTGCAGGAGTCTCTTCATAACATCTTTAGCAAAGATTACTTGCATTTCTATTCTTAGCAAGAGAATTCTGTAAGTCAGCTTAATATTACTGTTTATCAGTTTAACAGAGAAAAATAAAAGCTTATCTAAAAAACGAATGAACCAGTGAGGAAAAATAGCTTTGTTTTTTCTATGACAGCAACATGTGCTGATGAGGTCGTTGTGTGAGTGAGCGTGGCACACACTCACGTTTTAAACCGAGTTTCACAACATTGATACTTGCACTTTAATAATCATAACCTAGTTTGCAATTTCTTGCTCAGAAACCCATGACAGATGATGAGCTCGCAGCGGCCCTGTCATCTGGCTTTACCTGTGGTACTGCTTCTCCTGAAGAAAAGAAGAGTCTGACAAAGGTACCTGTATGTTTGTTGCCATTGCATGCCTTATGGCAAGGAAATCTTGCCATTATTGTCTTAATCTTTTGCTTTGAAATGATCCTGACTATTTCCCCCTTCTTTTTATTTTTGAAAATTTGTCTGTAATTTTATCTTTAATTTTTCTGGTTTTGCCCTTCTGTAAAAGAAACCCAGCAAGGAAGGAGAAATCATGCAAGCACATGCAGCGAGTTCAGTCAAGACCTCAGCTCCTCCTAAGGAGAAGGAAACAAAAGCAGAAGAGGTATGCATAGTCATTCTTTGACTGGTTAACTTCAAATTCAAATTTACAAGCGCAGGTCATATTTTGTGTGTGCCTGATTCTGTAAAGATGCTCATCATCCTTGTTTTCAGTTGTAAATCCTGTCTGTCATAGAAAGGACAGGAATAATAGGAATTGCCATTGCTCAGATTCTTCACTCTGTGCCTTAAGGATCCAGCCTTAATGGGTCAGATGACTTTTCCTTCTGGATTCTTCTGCAGAATGACTGTAGTTCTTCTGACTAGAGGCAACAGAGAAATGTATGTGTTTTCTTAGCTATGTGAGGTGTGTTTAAAACTTGGATATGCTGTAATCTGCTTCTGTTTTACAAGCCTTTCCTTTTTCTTCTGTAAAGAGCAAATGTGACCTTTCTGGGTTTGCCAGAAATGGCAATTTTGTGACATGATACTGTGCTGCTGGTTTTGGTGTGGGTTTTGGTTGTTTGGGGTTTTTTAAATTTTTTTTCTTCCCCCTGCCTCCCTCTCCTTAAGAGGAGATATGCCTTGATTAGACTGTGCTAATCTTCTCACATGACTTGCCATATCCTGCAATCTGATGTTAAGGAGATCGGGTAAAGCCAAACAGAAATGACCCGTCTGGTGCTGGCTGTTTGCTTCATAGACAGCGTAAAAGACACATAAGGTAAAACCTGTATCTGTTTAAAGGAATAATGAAAAGATTTGCATATTCTCTGAAATACAGGAAATGAAAGATGATGCAGTGGAAGCTCTTCTTGATACTCTTGGTGGACCTGAGCCTGAACCTGAAGAAGATCCTAGTCCTGTTGTAGAGGTGTCAGAGGTATGATCTTACTCCTTTGTACGGCAGCTTTCCCACTCCTACTTGTTACATACTGTTCAAATATGTAATAACAAAGCAACTTTCATATCAAAAGCCTAAGACATGTCTGAGTCTTATGTGATTAAGAAAATGAAGAAATGAAGAAATCCCAAGTGGACAGAGGTAGAACAGACTATAGGAAGTTGGTCTGGAAAAGGATGTGCATATCCTTTCGCTCTACAGGCAGATCTAAATACATCTTTCTCTGTTAGCTAGAGCTGGTTTTTTTCCCCAAACACTGCCTACAATTTATAGCAAGCTTTTGTTCTGCACTTATTTGCTCTTTGGTTTGTTTTTTTTTAATAACTTTTTGGGAATTTCAGTGCATTTACTTCTTTTTACTTGAGAAGTCCTGGCAGTCTGGTGAAGTTCCCTCAGACTGGAAGAAGGGGAACATAACCCCCATTTTTAAAAAGGGTAACAAGGAAGACCCAGGGAACTACAGGCCGGTCAGTCTCACCTCAGTGCCAGGCAAGATCATGGAGCTCTCCTAGAAACTATGCTAAGGCACATGGAGAATGAGAAGATGATTGACAACAACCAACATGGCTTCACTAAGGGCAAGTCATGCCTGACAAATCTGGTGGCCTTTTATTGTGGGGTCACAACATTGGTGGATAAGGCTAAAGCAACTGATGTCATCTACCTGGACTTGTGCAGGGTGTTTGACAACATCCCACATGACATCCTTGTCTCCAAATTGGAAACGTGTGGGTTTGATGGATGGACCACTCGGTGGATAAGGAACTGGCTGGATGGTGGCACTCAAAGAGTTGTGGTCAACAGCTCAAAGTCCGAGTGGAAACCAGTGATGAGTGGTGTCCCTCAGGGGTCAGTATTGGGACCGGTGCTGTTCAACATCTTTGTC